ATTTTAGCTATTGCAAAGTGTGCCGCTATAAACATGGGTGCACATATATCGCTGTGGTATGATGCCTTTAATTCTTTTGGGAAGATACCAAGAAGGGGAATAGCTGGGTCAAATGGAACCTCTAGTTTTAGTTTTTTGAGGAATCTTCACACTGATTTCCACAATGGTTGCAGCAGATTAGTCTTAATGGATCATTAGCCAACTTTTCTATCAAATTTTTATACTCTGCCCTCTTCCTTCTACTTTTAAATGAGTTACTTCCTTCATGAACCTATCAATACTTTGTCACAGAAAGTCAGTAGTGACCAATATTCATCAAGTCTCTGTATCTTTCCAGTTACTTCTTTTGTGATTACAGATGTCCTAGGCAAATCGTCTGCTTCTCAGAAAAGAGATAAAAAATCTTATTGAGTGTTTTATTTCAGCATATTTAGAGAGATGCTATGGAAAAGTGGACTAGAAGGCAATCTGATACCCAGAAACATGAGGAATGCTCAATTCTAAATATGCACAAAGTCAATATCATCACTATGTTAAAAAAAAATACTTCATTGTAGGAGGCAGGGGAAAGAGGACCACCTTATTAGCTTAAAGACAAAAGAAAGGGACTATGGCAAATTCTAGGCCAGGATTTAGGAAGGAAATCACTGAGGGGTTTTACTTGACCTTATGCAATAAGAAAGAAGACAAGGTACAACCATACAACTGCCGGCAAAGGGTATTTTCCCCAAAATTCAATTAATTTCATATCAACATCACATTTTCTTTATTATTTTGTGTATTTATACTATAATATTTCATATAACTATTTTTAAGAATTTTTTTTCAAAAACTAAGAATAGTATATTAATCAATTTGAGTAATTCAATGGCCTTTTGTTATCACATGAAGAACCAAAGTTTGCTAAAAAGCATATCTTTTGTTGCTAAACTTCCTGCCCTTAAAGGGACTTATATGTGAGTTTTGTCATTTCTTATATAGTTAACCCTTCCTTTGTAAAGCAGTAACTTCTCCAAGCTAGAAAATTCGAGAAATATAAGATATCTGTGGGCCCCTGAAAAGACATTTCTTTGGTGCAACTCACTCAGAGGTGATTAGTCTTGCAGAGCAAAGAGCTCACAAGGTCTGTGAGTGAAGAATGATTCATCATGTCCTAAAGAAGGCTGACAGCAGGGAGTAAAATCTGAAGACAAACTTACCTCTCTTTTAGCCTGTTCCCCCTTCCCACTTACACTTTCCACCTCAGCCTCAGTCCCACTGAAACGGGCCAGGGAGACTCCAGGGTTTACAGCAGATGTTTTCCTACTTGGAACATTCTTCCCCATATATCCCAAGTCTCTCCCAACATAACCTTCTCAAAGAGGAGTTACAACACAATTCTGACCTCCTTGCTGCTCCTAATTGTTTACACTACTATTCTTTTCCCATACCATTTGATATGTAATTCACAGTCATTATGTTCCTTTATAATTTATTTCCACCCTCCTCTATACTATGTGAGCTCCATAAATTCAGAGATCTTTGTTATTATTCACTGACACATCCCAAGAGTCTACAACACTGCCTGACATAGTATAGGTGCTCAATAATTGGGTGAATAATGAGAAGAATTCCTTTTTTACTTGGATTGGAATATCTTCAAAATTTTCATTGTTATCAGCAATCCATTGTAACTGGGAGGTTAAGCAGGAAATCCAGTGCTGAGCACATATTCCAGAAGGGAGGTTCTAGGTTTGTGTCATTACCTGAAACTCTCTGACTTGTCATCTTAGATGACGTGTATTTAGGTTGAGAAAGAACTTATCCTGCTCAGTCTTAGATGGTCTACTTTTCACTACATGGGCCTGCCATCTCCCGCAAGGTTAAACCTAAATTCTGGAGATTCATGTCTATGTTGGATTAATGATATTGTGTTTTCAATATGAAAACAGAAGAATGAATCTTTTTCTCCTGTGGTAGGGATAAGATACAGAAATTGTATCTAGAAGACTGCTTTGTTTTTAAGACATCATTTTGAAATCATCATAGAGAAGAAAGACAGATGACATTAAAATGAAAAAAATGAGAACAAGATAGTCTCCACTCGAGAGAGAATTGTTCCATGTTGATTTCAAAGAAATGTTTTCCAGGCCATTCTCCCAGAGGAGTTCTCTCCTCATTACCAGTGGCTGTTCAGTTAAAATGAACTTCATGCTAGAAAAGGAAAAGAAAGATTCTTATCATCACAATTCCAAAATTTAAATTGCCTTCCTTAATTGATTTTCCCTTTACTTTATGTAATGTTTTTGCTGCATAAGAAAAAATTTGTTTTCTTTCAATTATGGCACATAAAGAGTCTTTGTAGTAAAACACAATTCCTGGTAAGGAAATAGGAAAAGAAGGAAAGGAACTCAATGTCATAAGGATAGTTTTAGGGACTGAAAAGCTACTTATACAAGTAGGACAAACACTGGTGTAGAGCGTTAGATGAACTTGTTCTTCTTTACCCAAAGGAGAGACTCTCTGTTAACACAGCTACCTCTTTCTTCCACCATTTCGAAGACACACCGGAAACGGTGTTCTGTTAGCAGTGTTGCCCATCACAGCCTGTAATCTTAGCTGCTGGACCTGTGACATGCTCTTCCTAGTGTCTGGAGGGATGATCTTCAAGTTTGCAGGATCCTGTACATTTTACAGAGCCCGCCTCATCAGTGCCCACCATTATACAATTTGATCTTTTCCCGGTATCCACCTCCCCATTAATATCTGCTCGTCTTTTCCATTGAAACCTCCTTTGCTTGGGCAGCAGTAGTGTATCTTCAAAAGCAAGAAAGGCCTCATAAGCTACTAGGGCCAAAACAACACGAAGACAAATGAATCTTCTCTTTTATGGCACTCCATCAAATTTTCTTGGAAGCCATTTGTGATGAGAGGCAGCATCTTCAACAAGCTTCAGCTCCCAATCTCACTGAGAGGAAGTTCAACACAGAAGGCTTCTTCCTGGAATGCAACACCATGAAATATTCTAGGAGTGAACTAAGAAAAAACCAACCACAACAACTTTTCCAGAGTGTGAGAAGAAAAAATTTAAACCAAGCCCAACTTTCTTACAGTCAGTCCATCTGACTTTCTGCACTCTACATGGATTTCTGCTTACTGGATGGTTGTATTTACACATCTTCCTGAATTATGTGCCTGTTTCAAGGCTATCATAACCTGCATTCTACAATAAGTTATATTTGACATTTAAACTCATGGGCAGGGAGATTATTTGGGGTGTGAAAGAAGAATAATTACAGGAGGGAAACATGAGAAGGAAGGAATATCTATTCAAGGAGGAATTATCTTTTTGTACATCACCCAAGCAACTGACGGTCATGACCATGGGACTTCTTGAGGATTGTGAAGAAATGATGTCACATCTCCTTAGCCTGGAGATGAAAGTCTTCATCTGAAGCTTCCTCTCATGCCCTTCACTGCTAGCATTTGTCGAATCTGGGCCCATGTGTATTTACTCTCCCACCCCTCTGTGTTGTGCACACATAAGAGCACAGTGTTTTCCATGAATACTGTGCACTGCAGTATCATAGGAGCTTTGGGTCAGAAAGAGAGAGAGATGCACCAGGGTCCTACAGACCAACTTTGTCAATAGGTCTTTCATCCAAGCCTTCATGGATAAGGCTATATGGCAGCATTTGGGTAAAGTGTAGGGCAGAGAGAATAGCAGGAATGTTCAGAAGGTAGCAAGCTATCCAGTAGGTTCAACGAAGGTCAGGATTTAACTAAGAAAATTAGCAGCATCTTCTCATGACAAGGACATCACTGTAAAGGTCAGAGGTGTGTGAGGAGATGGTAGTTGCAAGCAGCAGCTGTATAGCTTAACAAAATAATGTGGTTATTCAATCATTCTTGGTGAAGAAATTGAGCTCTCTCTGTAGTAGAAAAATCCTCTATACACAACTAGTCAGTGTGCCTAGAACAGCAGAGAATAAAAGGAGAAATTCCAAAAGCTAAAATAAGAACTATATTGATGGAGGGAAAGGAGGTACAAGTGAAGTACATGCCCCAGCTCAAAACCTAAAGAGTGTATTAGACACGAGATCCCAATGCACTAAGGGATTTGGGTCCAGGAGATACAGAGATGCATCTTCCAAGCTGAGGCTCAAGTCAGCCTGATAGCAAAGAGGACTTAGAAGCAGAGAGCAGGTTGCCTTATATCTGAGAATCCCATCATGTAGACACCACAACGTGGTTGCAACTCCTTTTTAGGGTTGTAAGGAGAGGTTTTGAGTAAGGAGAGTCTTATACCCAATCCTAGAGAAGTGCAATCGACACAAGATTCCTTGAATGCAGGCATGGTGCCAGCAGTGTCACTGGCCTACAGGTAGGTGACGTTTAAACTCTAACAGAGAATGAAATAGATGGGTGGACAAAGCAGCAGAGGCATGTGTCTCTTGCTGAGCCCTTTCTCCTCTTCTAGCTCATATCAGGAGGCTCATCCTAAGGAAGTATATCTCTCATGAGAAACTTCCTAGTAATTCTCAAAGCAACTTCTGGTATCTCTTTACAAATACCATCCATCCATCATCCATCCATCATCCATCCAACCATCCATCCATCATCCATCCACTCATTCATTTATTCAGTTCTCCCAGTAGCTGCTACATATCATGTACCACTTGGAAATGGAAGGAAGACAAGTGGCTAGGAGGACCAGGGAGAGAAGCCTTTGGTAGTGGCTGGCTGGTCCTGAGCTCAGACACTTGGGGGAAATGACACATCTGTGGAGCTGTCAGGTGCTCAACAGAGTAAGGAGGGAAGGACTTGGACATAAAGTGCGCTGCTCCAGGATAAGGCCTGACATCATTGTCATACGGTGACATAATTGCCTGTAAATGCCAGAAAGATGGTCATACTGATAATTTCATCACACAAGCTGAGCTAACAGGTGGATTCAGGGGTGAATCATGTCTGACAGAGAAGGAATAGACACGGAGGCCTTGAAAGTCCCATTTCCTTGAGGCAGGGCTTGTTCCCTATATAAAAAGCCAGCTGGCTGAAGGGACCACATCAGACCATCTCTTCTTCTCCGTGAGCCAGGTGAGTCTCTTTATTTGGAAATTTTTACCATTCACCCTAGGCATTTAATTTTTATTGGCACCTTGTTGTAGTCATTTTGGTGTTTCTCGGCATTACTGAAATTTGGCTATAGTCACGTAGACTGTTCATCTGAATTGTACTCTAGAAATAATTGTTTTGACAGCAATTGTGGCTTGGCCTTAAAGGGACTCTAGACCAGATTGGTTCTTCCTACACTTCCTTGCTGGTGTGTTAAGGACCCAGAGGGTTTGTCACTGGTAAGACTGAGAACTCAGATCCACAGGACTTTTACTGACCTAATTCTTCCTTTGTAATTTTTAAATAATGTTATTCTTTCAACAAATATTTCTGTGAGAACTTATTGTATATGGCCTTTGCTAAAAAATAATTTAGGCTACAAAAAATTTGCTCCATAAATCTACAATATGTTTAGGAGGGGGAAAAAAGCTAAAATACTATGTAGTGAATGATCAGTGTCAAATAACAAGGGTAAGTGCTGTGGCTGGGGAGCCACCGGAGGAGATTTCTGGAAGGCTTAGTCTAGAAAACCTGCCCCCAAGGTGCATCGTGAAGCGATCTGCAGTGGCTGGGTAATATTTGGACAGGCAGCAGCAAAGACAGCACTCGGGGCAGAGGAGCCAGGCCACCGGCAAGATCCTGCGGGGTTCTAGGGCAGCCAGCTATCCTTTGCAGGGTAAGCCTTCCTAGGTATCAGAAGGGAGTGAGTGGGTTGAGGCTGTTGAGGTGGTTTTTTGTTACCAAGTAGCATCATAGTTCCATGTGCTCCAGTGCTGCGAGTCTTGCCTTCCCGCTAGGAGCCCTGCTATGTGCTGTGCTGCTAATGGGCTTTAGGGTGTGTGTGACAAAGAGAGAACTGGGGAAAGCCCTGATCAAGTGGAGCAGAACAAATCACCTTTCAGTTCCTCCTCTTCAAAGGCTCAGAAACATGAAAGTATTCTTTGTGGTACAGAGGGAGAAAGAAGGACCTTTGCTTCTTAAGAGACCTGAAGTGGCATTGAGCATGTCTTCTTTGTGAGCGGCTCCCTGTTTAAATTATCTCTTCTGTCTCTAGGATCAACCACTGCTGAAGCATGAGTTCCCACCAGCAGAAGCAGCCTTGCACCATACCCCCTCAGCTTCAACAGGAACAAGTGAAACAGCCTTGCCAGCCTCCACCCCAGCAGCCATGTGTCCCCCAAACCAAGGAGCCCTGCCATCCCAAGGTGCCTGAGCCCTGCCAACCCCAGGTGCTTGAGCCCTGCCATCCCAAGGTGCCTGAGCCCTGCCATCCTAAGGTGCC